AAAAGGTTAACCTTTAGTTCCCCATGATACCCGACAAGTGGGTAAGGGAAGTCGGAACGGTTGATAATCTAAATCCTGCATTACCCATAATAAGGAATGTACCATAATTCCCATAGTTTAGGGTCCTTAGGGTAATGCAGGATTTATATCATCAACCGAAGAACAAGCCAGGATCCTTTTGCTGACTCAGAGGATGAATCTGGTCTTGGCCTTCGTTCAGAGTTTTGGGTTTCGAGCTTTTGAGGGTTACGTTCCTTTAAAGGGATCCTTAAGGGTTCCTTTCAGGGATCTAAAAGGGATCTGTAGGGTTTAGGGTTTAGAGCTTTTGAGGGGCAGGGTCTGTTTGAGGCTCAAGGGGTTGAGATGGCTTATCGGGTTTGAGGGTAGGCTTTCCGGGTTTCGGGGTTTTGAGCTTAAGTCAAAGTCAAGGGGCCTTGCAGCTTGCCTACGGAGCTTTCCGATCTTAGAGGTGACTCACTATGGTTTGATGAATGTTTGGGAACAATAATATCCCCTAAACCCGGAATTTCCCTGAATCCTAAACCCTAACCCCTAAACTCCAAACCCTAAGCCCTATTCATGGGTTTCTCTGTAGGCTTTATTCAGGGGCTTTGGGATTTTGACTTGGGAGCTTTGCGGCTCTGTGTGCTGAGATGTAATAAGGAACCCTAGGGCTTTAGGGTTTAGTATTTAGGGTTTAGGATTTATGGCTTTAGGGTTTAGGATTTAGGGCTTTAGGGTTTAGGATTTAGGGCTTTAGGGTTTAGGATTTAGGGTTTTAGGGTTTAGGATTTAGGGCTTTAGGGTTTAGGATTATGGCTTCTCATCACCAACGGTCTTCCTTAGGGCTCCGTTTAGAATTAGATTACCAGAACCCTATTGACATCATTAAGGCCCGAGATTAGGCTGAAAGATTAATGCACGAGCCCCAACCGGCACCAGGGCCCGAAAGCCCCTCATGACCCTTTGTACCCAGACGCCTTACAGCAAAAAGCGTGATCTAGCACATTTTCAACGTATACGTGTGGCCCCAAAGACCTAGGGAACTAGGTATAAAATAGAAACTATGACAAGGAACCCTAAAAAGGTAGGTCTTTTCTGGTACAGGTATTGTCCGAATATCGGGCAGGTTGGGCTCATTGAGAGACCTCGGCTTGAGTTAGGGCAGGTGTTAATTTGCTTGCGCCTCCAGAGGTGCGGTTTAGGGTTGTTAGAGTTTGGGGTTTCTTTGCAAGCAATATAGAAGTTTAGGATTTTGGGTTTAGGGGTTCAAGGTGTAGGGTTTAGGGTTCAGGGTGTAGCGTTTTAGGATTTAGGGTTTAGGGGTTGCTGCTGCGCGAAAAGCCCCTCTATGCAGGTAATCACACATTCGGGTCAAGTCTGTCTGTACTTCGTAAAAAGACGTGTGGACATTGCGCACTTTCAGCGCAGCACGCATGCCATGGACTCATTTGATTCCAGCCATGCACGTCACAGATGCCGTGTTGAAGGATGAGTTCTGGCATTCCGTGTCCCGCTTCCTGGAGCCTCATTTGGGATGGCATCACGCTGCAAAATCCCTGTTCACTGCATCAGTCACTGCGTTCCCGTCTGGTCAGCATGAGGACCAGATTCTTCTTCCCCAATTGAAAGTCCACAAGAAGCTTCCGTTGTTCTTCTATGTAGCACTGCCATTATCAGTGGCAGAGATGTGGATTGACACCAAAGACTACAGGTCATTGGCCACAGAAGTGATACGATGGATGCCAGGAGGCCAGTTGCGATTGTTTGTCACCCTGCACGGTGCTATCACGTCACAGCCCTCGTCGATCTCGCCATCGACACAAATACCTGCCAAAACTCTACACCTGAACCCAAAAACCTCAAACTTTTGCCCCCAAACCTCAGACACGTTGAACAAAGCCCAAGCCACACCTAAGACCCAAACGATGAAACCAAAAGGCCAAGCCCAAACTGCAAGAAATTAACCACACAGCGCAGGACCCTAATCCCAGAAACAAAAACATATCAAAATTTCACCAATGCAGCCAGACCCTCAACCCAAAGCAAAAAAGCTGAAACAGACACATAATCCCAAAAACAACAAACAGACCCAACGTCATCACCCCTCAACGCCAAAAAAACAACCTGAACCGCCAAAGGCCCAAATTTCTGAAATCCAAAAAGCACCTCAAGATCTCGACCAAGTGCTAACCCTGCGCTGCACGTCGCCACTTGAAACCTAAACCCCTGAACAACTTATGCATGAAAACCTATCGAGCCCTTATAAACAACACTAGAGACTCCTTGTAACAAACGCTACAGACCCCTTATGAGATATTATAAGACCCTACACCCTAAATCCTTACAGTTTTGAGCACCAAGTTGTTAGAGTTAGACGTAACAAAGCCCGAAAAGGGATCCGGTTCCAACACCGTTCTGAGGCCCGCTGCTGCCAGGCCCTCCGGCTGAGGCCGGTAAGCTCAAAAAGGAAGAAGACAGAGATCACTTTTGGGGGTTCAGGGGTTTAGGGCGTCTTAGAGGGGTTTTGGGGGTTGAGGGGTTCAGATTTTTGGGGTTTAGGGGTTCACGACGTTGTTATGCCAGTAAACAGGCAGCAGTTCCTCCTCGACAACTGTGATGAGATCACAAGCTACATGTCACGGGCGCCGACAACAACAAGGACAAGCATGTGTCCTTGCGTCGGGACAAAGCACTGGCTTTCGAAAGCTACACATGGTTGCCGCAAGACATTCTTCTGCCAGAGTCGTGCCAGGCCTGACGAAGCACTTGCACTCTGTTGCTGGCCTCCAAAGGGTCATCGCCCTTTGGGCCGTTCGGGCGGTTGCAAGGTCTGACGGATGGACTCCAGAACAAGGGATTTAGGGCTTAGGGGTCTAGGGTTTCATGTAGAAGAAGACAGATCAGATACTACTTACAAGAGCTGGGTAGGTATCCTTCAAGCTTTTGAGGTCATAAAATCCTGTTTTAGTCCAGGGAATAGTGAAGGTACATTAGGAGGTACATCAGGGGCCTAGTATGTCTTTGTTCAGGGACGCTTAGTGTAAGAGGGGTTGATGTCGTGTCCTGAGAGGGGCCTCAATGATTAGAATAGAGTCTTGGGGGTCGTTATGGCATAATTACACCACGGATCCCTCAGGAAGAATATGACAACAATGGCTCAGGGAATAGTATTCGTAATTCTTTCCGGCCCCTGCGTTGCCCGACCACTGAGCCAACTCCTGAACAGTCATGGCCACGGCTGGTCTGTGCGTCTCTCAAACCGCCTTAAGAATCTACAATTAGAGCTTTTGTTTGTCTTGGATTGATCATGTAATATATGTACGTTGTAAACCGTATTTTAGAGGTTACTACAAACAAAGACCCTACGTCAGCATGGCCAAAATGTCTGCACTTGTGGCCTGGATTAGGTAAGCGACGAAGCTACGTCAGGGCCGTCTCTGAAGATCCAAGGGTCGAGACCCATGCCTGGAGCTGTTGTCCTGGTTTTCCCACCCAGAAGCGACTTGGAATAGGGTTTCGCGGCCCCTTATACTATAATTACAATAAGGAACCCCCAAAACTGTATTGGTAATTGTTAAGGCCCCTATTTTAAGCCTTGACTGTGTTTTCATCAGGCTAGCACACGGCGTGCGAGCCAAGCAAAAGCGCCAGGAGCCTCAGGAAACGACGCAGTGTGCGTTCAGTGAGCTTCGGACACCCATCCGCTCCGAGGGAATGTGGGTGAGAACGTTGTTCTTGATCTAGTCGTTATAAGGTCTTGATGTTGAAGCAACCTTTGACAGAATGCCAGTCTAGAAGAGCCCGTTGTCTCAAAGGTCGCAATCCGGGTGCTAGGAACCTTGTGGTGGATGTGAGGCGCAGGTCGAAGTCTCATGCCTCTTTGGGTCTGGGGCTGAGGATTTCATGTGGTCTAACCATAGCTGCCCGGCTTGAGACGGCAGCAATCGGCATTGTAGTCGTCATCGTCGTTGTGGTCGTGGTCATAGTCAACCGCCGTCCTGGAGATGCTAGTGGTGGTGGCGATGGTTCGCATTCCATAATGTACTTATGGTGTAGAAGGACCCTTCAAGCCCTGGTCTCGCGATTCGGGACCTTGGAATTCGTCTCTGGTTCTCAGCAGTCAGGACTCTTGACTTTTGAAGAGTCGGGCCACGACCCGACACCCCCAAAGCCCGAAATGCTGGACCGCACGGCCCCCAACCAGAAACTAGTAAGCAGCAAACCCTAAACTCTAAACTTTCAGAACCTTCAAGTTGGAACCCTAACCCCCAAACTCCTTAAACCCTTGCGCCTCGCAACCCTCACCCCTCAACCCTGAGCGCCTACTATAACATACCTCCAAGACTACTCTCATCGTTAAAGCCCCCTATATGGGAGTTTCTGGAAAGAGGGGACTCCAATATAGTCCCCTAAATAGTAGGATCCTGATTATAAGGACCCCCAAATAAGGTACCCCCAATTTTCGGAAACTCCCATATTCCTTGGGAGGCTTTAGAGACTCCAACCGGGAGCACCATGTCGGAAAGGTGTGTACAGGAAGGCCAGGCATCCTAGCCTGGCGCGCGGAGCCGTATACGGGCACAGGGGTTTAGGGTTTAGGGTTTTGGGTTTGGGGGTTTAGGGCTTGGGGTGGGGTGTAGGGTTTAGGGCTTAGGATAGTAGTTGCTGGAGCTCTGCTGCTTGGTAGCTGAGTAGAGAGCTTTTAGCCTTTTGGTGTTTATATGATACTACCATAATTGAAAAGGTACACCTTTTTGGAGGCGAGGATACTCAGCCTCTAAGGATAGTCTCTTTGCAGCGGAGCTTGTGATGGCAGGCTGCGGCAGATCTCCACGGAGCTGAAAGCTTGCCTTCGGCAATCCCCCCGTATCTTACCTTTGGTGAGTAGGGAATGGAGGAATGGGGCACAACTAAAACTACTATTACTACCATTCTTCCATTCCCTACTAACCAAAGGTAAGGTATCCTGCAGGAGTTGCTGAGTATGGGGGGAACTGGCGTTCTGCATGGATTTGCTCACGGGACAAGCCATCTCAGTCCGGACCATCCAGACAGAAATGAACAGCTTGGAGGGCCTAAAACCGCAAGAAGCTTACCAGATCCTCAACCCCAAAACCCTAAGCCCCAGACGTTGAACCCCTAAAACCCTAAATTCTGAAGCCTAACCCCGCGGAACCCTACACTTGGACCCGGAAAGCGTGGGAATCCTAAAGTCTGCGATCACTTGAAGCTCTCCACCCTACTTGGAGGGTCGGGGGACTTAGTAATTGGGTATTTTAGGGACTTATAAGTACCGTAACCCCAATTAGGGTCCCTTTTAGGGTACTTGTAAGTCTACCTACTACCTACTTACTATGTCCCCCGACCCTCCAAGTACACGCCAGCAAGGTCTAGGTAGGGTTTTTGGACATTCAATCTTTATCTTTTCCCTTCTTGGGCTTAAGAGGATCTTATTTACTAATATGTTTACAGGGCTTTAACTGTTGTGCCCGAAACTTTTCAAAGTCTCATAGAGAAACCTAGCCCCCTAAACCCCAAAGCCCCTGAACCGCTCAACCCTAAAGCCCCCTAAACCTTGAACCCCTAGGCCCTAAACCCAAACCCCTAAACCCCCGAACCCCAAAGCCCCTAAGCCCCAAACAGTATCATGGAAGCCACACAAGAGCTCTGTCTCTCTGAGGGCCGACAAAGCCGGGAGCTTGAGCAGCTCTGGTCCTGAAGGCACCAAGAAGGCCAGGCCTCATGTATAATTATAGAAGTGTCATAGTAGTACTAGTAGTAGTACTAGTAGTAGTAGTAGTAGTAGTAGTAGTAGTAGTAGTAGTAGTAGTAGTAGTAGTAGTAGTAGTAGTAGTAGTAGTAGTAGTAGTAGTAGTAGTAGTGGTAGTAGTAGTGGTAGTAGTTGTAGTAGTAGTCGTAGTAGTAGTAGTAGGAGTAGGACAAGGGCTCGGAGTAGGAGTGGGAGTGGGAGTGGGAGTAGCCCTAGCAGTAGCAGTAGCAGCAGCAGCAGCAGCAGTAGCAGTAGCAGTAGCAGTAGCAGTAGCAGTAGCAGTAGCAGTAGCAGTAGCAGTAGCAGTAGCAGTAGCAGAAGCAGTAGCAGTAGCAGTAGCAGTAGTTTCTTGTAGTATTATGGTATTGAAGGCCGGCTATAGTCGCCAAAAGTCATATTATAGTGTTCTTATTCCAGTTATACGTAGTGGTGTAGTAGAAAATATGGAGTAGCTCAGTTGCAACTACCATAGCAGAAGTTGATGGTTTAGGGTTCAGGGCTATATCTATATGTATATATAGATAGATAGATAGTAAATGATAGGGTTTCCTTATTAGGGCAACTTAGACTAAGTTCCTTAACACAAGGGCGTGTGTAGAGACGCGTTTGATGGTAGAGCGCCTGCATTGCCTTGGGAGGAGATTCAGGTGTCTAGGGTTTAGGGCTGAGGGGGCCTTCATAGCATTGGGAGTAATCAGGAGTTTAGGGTTGAGGGGTCTGTTGTTCCGGACCCCGGAGAGGATGGAGGGAGTGTCGTGAGCAGTCCTTGGAGAGGCTTTGACATTAGTTTTGAGCCTCTGATTCCAGTTGCTTCTGAGCCTCCTACAGTAGTGGAGCCAAGAAGAGAAGCAGAGACTGATCTTGAGAGCCTTTCCCTCAAATGCTGCAGGGAGCTTGCTGAAGGCACGCAAATAGTGTGCCTGAAGGCCAGAACTGGATCTGGCAAGACAGTTATTGCCGTGCCATCGATTGCAACACTTTGTGCAGATCGGAGAATTGTATGTTTTCAACCAAGCCGGTCCAATGCCAGGAACCCGGCAGCTTACGTGGCGCAGGGTCACGCATGGCTACGAGTAGCGTACACTACTGGAGACAGATCCAGAAACGAGTCTGAGCTTAGGGTTTAGGGTACTTTCTGCGGAGTGTTGGGTTTCGGGCTTTAGAACTCTAGGATTCGGCCTCTCTGGGGATTCTTGAAAAGAAGATGTTTTTGTGGCGCGGGGATTAGGGATCTAGGGGTTAAGTCAAAGCTTACCCACAGACTCCAAAGCCTCTTGAGGAATATATATATATATATATACCTTAAATTATAGAGGGACCCCGATTTACTATTCAATTAACGGTTTGGGAGTTTCCGTGTACCCATGCACAACGGGATCCCGAAAGTTTGCCTTAGTTTGCAAATGCCTGCATCGGGGAGTCTTAGACTGTAGTCGTTCATCGTTCGTTTTGAGGGGTGTTGTGGGGTTGAGGACGTTCGGGATTATGCGTGGTTTCGTCACGGCCTTTCTATAGAAATGCCGCTGTGGTTTCGGCCAGACATGTCCAGGCCCACAGCCCGAAGCCCCTTCCAGTGTAGAAGCCTGCAGAGTTACCCATGCCTAGCACTTTCTCACTATAGTACCATCATAATTGTGTTCCTGGAGGTTTTTTATTTATGTAGTTATATATAGATATATGTGTATATATATATATATATCCCCCCAAGCCCGATTCTAATTTTCAAGGGCCCTACACTAGCTGCGAAGATTCGGGTGCTACAGGATCCGGGAAGTAGGTCTTGATGACGCCGTATGTTGCCACAATGGGTTTAGCGTTTAGGGTTAGGGTTTAGGGACTAGGGTTTAGGGTTTAGGTTAGCACACGTGTCGAAGATGCAAGTTGGTGCCCTATTCGTATGCCAGTGATCTACCTCGCGGACGAAGCACTACAACCCTAAGCCTCGTCTAAAGCTTACATGTTTCTGAAATATATAAGACCCGAAACCTTATGCCCTAAGCCTGAAAGCCTTAAAGCCTTAAACCCAAGCCCCAAACCCTAAACCCTAAGTACCTCAAGTAGCCTTATAAGTATTTTAAAAGTATAGTTACCTGAATTCTAAGCTCAGTTGCTAAATCCCATGATCCTCTACTGCTACATAACCCTAAACCCTAAACCCCAAGCCGCAAACCCTAAACCCTGAACCCTAAACCCTAAACCCCTAAACTCCTAAACCCTAAATCCTGAACCCTAAACTCCTAAACCCCTAAACCCTAAACCTGATTCTTGACTTTGGGAGGTCAAGAGGCCCAAGGCTCGCAGCGACCTCAGTTGCACATGCAAGAATACGGTAATTCAAAGGGGAAAAGGAGGGACCCTTAATGGGGACCCCTACCCTATAATGGGCTATTATAATGGGGTTTATCATAGCTATATTAAGCGGAAATACCTAGGGGTCTTTATTAAGGGTCCCTCCTTTTACCCTTGGAGTAATGAAGGACTGCTGTGTTGGGAATCCTGGGGAAATATGGGGTTTAGGATTTAGGAGAAGGGGCTCAGGAGAAGCGGCACTGTCAACTGCATGCGGAATGTGAAGGTCCATGACGGGCCATGGCAGGAGGTCGCTTTGACTGATGCAGCTTAGAGTTGTTATGATAGCTACTTGGAGGGTCGGGGGACTTAGTAACTGGTTATTTTAGGGACTTATAAGTACCATAGCCCCAAAAAGGGTCCCTTTTAGGATACTTAAAAGTCTACTTACTACCTAGTTACTAAGTCCCCCGACCCTCCAAGTAACTAGACACTAACAATACTGTGATAGTATTGTAATAAGACTACGGTAGTATATCTGCCATCGTACTGTGATATTACTGTGATACTACAAGAATAAAACGATGATGATACTAGAATGAGGTTACGCGAATGCTATAATGGTCCTATCAGAACCAGAAAACAAACTTGCAAGCGATTCTTGCTGCAAAATCAGCAAAACACATGCGGCTGTCAGCATCGGCTGCGGTTCCGCATGTCTACGATGCCCCCTAAATCACAACTTTACGAAATCATCACTCTGTGGCCCTCAAACCCTACATGGTTTTGTATGATTCTGGAAAAACCATACCGAGGAGCATGCAAAGCCCCGCAGTCGAATCCTTCTTGCATGCATGCTAAATGACGAAGGCCTAGTTTTGTTGTAGACGTTCTGAAGTAGGATTTGCAAAGCAGTCGGTTTGGCCCTACGCAACCGATACAAGACCTGAAAGACCCATGTACAATCCGCAAGTTTGGAAGCACCCGTAATACAGGGGCCTTAATAATTAGGGTTTTGGGGCCCATTATACTGTAGTTACAATGAGGAACCCCCCAAAATAGTATTGGTGATTATTTTAGGCCCTGTATTCGAGTACCCTTATAGATCCCACTTATAATAAGCCTTTTAGACCTCTTTAAAGGTCCCCTAGGAAAGTACGCTGAGGCCCTGGGGAGAAGAAGCCCTCCACAGACGACGTGGCTGCAGCCAGCTGCGGCCTCAACGCATCCCAGGGGCTTCATACGGATCTCACTTGGAGGGGTTCCTTTAAGGGTTCCTTTAAGGGATCTATCGCGGTTTCTATACTTGGAGGGTCGGGGGACTTAGTAACTGGATATTTTATCCAAGGGCTTCACCTGGGTTTGGAGTACCATACTTGAATACTTTTTCTTTCGGACCTGTTCCTTAAAGGAGCCATGATGAAATAAAAGTCTATACTTTTTTCTCCCTGGTTACTTCAAAGCCCAGATGAGGATCTTAAGGGAGTTTCGCAAGACCCTAAAATCTACGCCGTGGCTATATGATCTTAAGGGGGTTTCGGGGAACGCTAAACCGTTGACAGTTGATAGCGTTGCGTTCCCACAGCGCAGGGCTCGGGATTTCTGGGCTACTTGGAGTACCAAGTTTCAGCCGCCCATGAAGCGCATGAAATATGCCGAATCGCAGATAAACACGTTAACCTTGCGTGTGTCCACGGCTTACGGTTAGACGTGCTTGCGGACTCGGTGAGCATAATACCCTTCGGTATTGGAAGCTCCTTGAATGCTGCTGGGCTTCGCCTTGTGGTGAATGTCTAAGTTAAGAGCTAGTGGGCCTGGAAAATGTGGACGCGAGCCAGTTCTCAGTTGGCAAGCTTCGGCTCACCAAGGAGTTTGTAAACATACTTTGAATTTAAATACACAGCGGCATGCGTTACGATGGTGTTGATGCGGATGGATTAGCTTTTATCAAAAACGAAGAGACATCCGGAGGCGGTTTACCAAAGCCCTCACCAAAGCTTATCCATGCGTTCACCACAGCGTAGTCCTGCCCTCTCGGAAGCCTAAGCCCTCAAACCTCTTGCATATGTAGGCCCTTTCTAGAACTCTAGAACTCTAAACCTGAACGCCTCGAGGTTTCTCAATAGCTAATTTTACTGTATTTATACAAGATACCTGGAAGAACTAGGAACACTCTTGCTTCGGGTACCCGAATGTGTCTTTTTGAAAAGAGGGGACGCCAATATAGTACCCTACATAGTAGGATCCTTATTAGGACCCCCCAAATCAGGTACCCCTAATTTTCCAAAACATGCTCAAATCACAAGTCTGATCATTTCGGCGCACAGAAATCTAACCAAAACGAACTCATCAACCAGAGTTCAGGGTCCAGGGTACCGGGAGAAAGGGGTAGATTTAGCTAGCATGTAGGCTTTAGGCTTTGAAACAGTTACTGGCATTGAGTTCGGTATTTAGCCTGGTGCTTCAGTCTCCGATATCCCCCTTAATCCCATACCCACTCAACCAAGCCCCAAACCCTAAGCCCCAGAAACCCTGTGCATCGTGAAGCACATCTTTTAAGGCAAGAACCCACGGGTTTAGGGTTCAGGGTGCGCATAGATTAGGGCCGCCGTATTTACGGGTCCCAAGCATGATATTATGGGCATTCTCCCCTACACCGCAAACTCTAAACCCCAATTCCCAATCTGCTACCGTCCCCAAGTCCTCAGGCACGAGCTCCGGCAAGAAACCGGCGTCGGTCCCAGATCAAATGTTTTAAAACCATGCCTTCGTCATGGGAATAGTGTTTTTTCGAGGGTTCTTGACATTGTCATGCTGAGGGTTGCTATCAGGGCTTTAAGGGTTGGAATAGGGTTCCCTTGAGGCTTCTTTAAAGGGGTATTCTGCCGGGTGGCTACACACTCAGCGTTTAGTTTGGAGGCCTGAAGGCTGGGTTGTCCTTTGGGATCTTTATTGATTTCCCCTACTATTGTGTAGAGAACCACAGTAGTAAATAATGTTCAAAGGGCTTAAAGGACAACTCAGAAGAGTTCGAACAGGGTGTGTTTGACGTTTTTCAGGTCATGATGAAGGCTGACGTTAGGGTTTACTGGAGAGGCCTTCAGAATCACATCGCTTTCTGTCAGTGTTCTGCGAGGGGTTGTTATGAGGGTTTCTACAGGGGTTTAGGATACAGGTCTTAAGAGTCAGAATGGGGTTTCTCGGAGTTTCTTTAGTCAGCAGCTTAGTAAACGTGTTATCATAAGTCTTTAGTATAGAGAGCTTAATAATCCAAACAGGGCTTCGGTCAATGGTCTCAAAAGGTAAAAACGTTTTAAGACTACAATGTTATACTCGAACCTACAGAACCAAAAAGGTCTGGTCAGGGATTTGAACTTGGGGCTTGCGATGAGGTAACGCCGATAAAGCTCTCTGCGAGCCTTATTCTGGGTTCGTCCGGGATCTATGAGGGTTCCTTTGATGGTTTAGGTTTCAATTTAAGTTACCATAATGTAGGATCCGATTAAGGGTTCTACAAGGGCTTAAGGGCTAAGGATTTTTTAGTTTAAGTTACCATAATAGGGATCTATAGTACACAATATGGTTTCCTTTTTTGTAACTTAATATAAATTCCTTAACAAAACCCAGATTCTTAAACTGAAGTGCGTGGGATTAGGGTGTTCCATAACTGGGAACATTTTGCGGGGCCCTGTTGCTCTGTCGGGCCATTGGCGTGCATTTCCAATTGGTCTGAGGCTGAGGGATGGTAACCCAGAACCCATACCCTGGTTTGGGGTACCATACTGGAATACGTTTTTCGGTACCTGTTCCTTAAAGGAACCATTATGAAAAAGAAGTCTATACTTTTTTCTCGGTGGTTACTTCCCGGCCTAGATACACCCACCAACCAACTGCCATGCCAAAATCCCGATCCTTCAACCCCGGTGTCGAGAAAACCAAAAAACATCCAACACCTCGACAACCTTGAATCAAACGAAGCCGGAGCAAACCACTCTAGACTAAACCGTCATATTAACCTTTGGGAGAAACCCTTCAAAAGAACCCTTGAAAGGAATCCGTAAAGGAACCGTATTCTACTTATTTAGGCCCTTGTTTTACACCCCACAAAAACCCCAACAACTGGAGACACTCGGTCTTTTGTTAAACCTATGCGGGTAGTTCTATCGGTTTAGGGTTTTGGGTTTAGGGTATAGGGTTTAGGGTTTCTGTGAAATAGAGCCCCGGTTTTTATCTCATTGATAGCTACAGCACCATTGTAAAACGGATCCTGCTTGTACGAAGGACTCTAATTTAGAGAGCCGCCCATGTGGGTTCCTGTGTTGGTGAGGAGTTCCTGACGAACACTTCTTGGAGGTTCATGGGTTGCGATAATGCTATAATGATGCCAACATTAGGGGGCTTATAGCCGACCTTTAATTACCCATGAACCTCCAAGTGCGTCAAAAGGACCTTCCATACAACCCCTTCATCCTTTTGAAACCCCTCACATGCTCTGCGTTTTTACGGTACGTACCCGCATAACACCCTATAGAGCTTCATCAAAGGGTTAAACGAATCGGCCCGGAGTTCAGGGTTTAGCCAAAGGGGAAAAGGAGGGACCCACAATGGGGACCCCTACCCTATAATGGGCTATATAATGGGTATATAGTAGCTTTATAAAGGGTATATACCTAGGGGTCCTTATTAAGGGTCCCTCCTTTTTCCCTTGGATAATCCGGAGCAAAACCCTGGGCGAGCCCAACGAAACCCTAAACGCTAGGCTCTCAAGCTCTAAAGCCTGAAAACCCACACCCGAAAACCCCAAACCCCTACCCAGAATCCCGGGAGGATCCAAAAAGTAGATCCCTTAATGGGGGTTCCTATTAAGTACCCCTAGTCCCTTAGTAGTATAGGGCCTCAAATTAGGGGATCTAGGGATCTGGGTCCATACCTCAAACCCGAAAGCCCTTGGAGGGACATGAGTAGTTCTATGTGGGGTTGCAAGCCCCCGAATATGGATGATACCTCTAGTTCTTCTGGCTACCCATGAACTTTCCAAGCAAACCCTTATTCCTAAATCCTATAGTACCCTTAGAGGAGCCCTGAAAGGAACCCTTTAAGGAGCGCCCGAACAAAAACCCTGACAGGGACCCTTAAACAGGACCTTTAAAGGAACCTCTACCACCCATGAACCTCCAAGTAAGGCCTCACTGCTCCGCTTGGAGGCCCAGGGGACTTAGTAAGTCGGTTTTATAAGTATGGTTAGAATTGGGGTATCTCCACTTTGGGTACTTCTAACCCTACTTATAACCTATTTACGAAGTCCCCTGGGCCTCACTGATCCGCAGAACCAAGGCTCGGGCGAAGCCCAAAAAGGCTCCTCTCAAGGCGGCCCAGGCAGGGAGAAGAAGCGCTGTACCAGGGTTTACTTGGAGGTTCATCGGTAGTTATAAGTGGGATTATAACTAAGGTAACTACAATTATAACCCAGGTTAAGGGACTTATAAACCTACTTATAACTGCCCATGAACCCTCCAACTAGGGATTAGGATTGAGGGGTGTAGGGTTTAGGGGTCAAGATTTGGGTCTTGGGTTTTAGGGTTTAGGGTTTAGTTTAGGGGTTTGGCGTCAGGCAGGAAGTAGAAGAGCAAGTGGGTAGGTTGGGTCCCTTTTAGGGTCCTCTTGATTAGGGGTTCTTGTCTCCATAGGGAGATTCTTAATTGTTGTTCATATGGGAGTTTCCAAAAATAGGGGACCCTAACATGCTACCCTAAATAGTAGGAACCGGGTTATAAAGATTCCAAGATTACATAGGTACCCTTAATTTCGGAAACTCCCGTATAGAACCCAACAATATAATGAACATATGATTTGTATTATGGTTCTCGGCCCAGGCAGGAAGAAGAAGAGCGTTTAGGATTTGGGAGTTTAGGGCTGCAAGGGAGGTGAGTTTAGTTTATATAGGGGTTTCGGGTTTGGGAGTTTAGGGTTTGTAGGGTTTAGTTTAGGGTTTAGGGGTTTAGGGTTTAAGTTTTCCTAGACTTTGGCGTAGTAAACACAAGCTTGATGCATATGGGCCCCAGGCTCCTTTAACGCGTTTTGGTTGAGTTTAGGGCATCGGGCCTTCATAGTTTGAATAGGGTTTCTCGGTGGACTATAGCATAACCATAGGGCAGCTCCAAAGGGGGGCATGATGAGTGCCTCAAAATCGACCGCAACACATTAGCTGACGGTTTAGGGCTTCCGTGTTTGCTTCTGGGCGCTACTCGCCCAGGATATTCATCTTGATCTGGATCTACGACCTCTGGCTTACCGCTTACGGTTCAGGGTTTAGGGTTTAAAGGTTTACGTATGGAGGGTTTAGGCTGCGGAGTTTCTGGTTTTTGTCCGGGTTTTCGACTGTAGGGCCCCTGTTCGGGCCCGTAAACAGGGACCCTATTATGGAGATGTACCCTCATGGCCTGAACTTAGGTTCTGTGGGTCTTAGTATGTGCTTTGGGTTTTTGGTAAAGGTCTCAATTGCTTGGATTGTTTCCTAGGGATTGCCTGTCAATACCATAGTTATAGTACTATACCCACCTAAGCCCTACCTGTAGCCGAAATGACCTACCTACCTTTTTCAAAGGCACCATATATGGAAACCATAAAAAGCAATCCTCAAAGGGTAGGTCTTTCCGGCTACAGGTATTCTAGTCCCCTACTTGGAGGGTCGGGGGACTTAGTAACTGGTTATTGCAAGGACCTATAAGTACCATAACTCCAATTAGGGTCCCTTTTCGGGTACTTACAAGTTTACTTCCTACTTACTAAGTCCCGATAGTACCCATAGAATCCCCTTCAAAGGAACCCTTAGAATCCCCTTTAAAGGAGCACCTACTTACTAAGTCCCCCGACCCTCCAAGCTACATTGTCTCATTCGATCCCACCAGGACAGTGATGGCGAAGACGTAGGGTTCTGAAGGCCCGCACCCAGAGATCCCAATTTAAAGCTGAGGATCCTACTAATTGGGGTACTAGATTTGGGCCCCCTACTTTCGGAAACCCCACATACCTGAAACCTCAATAGTTAAGCCCCTCTATGATGTAAGGGATATTTGGATCTCTGGGCAGATGAGACTGAGAGCTCGGGATTTCCCGGCCAGGATGAAGTAATATCCCATCCCTTAATGGGGGGTTCCTATTAAGTACCCTTAGTAGCATAGGACCCCAAATTAGGGGATCTACTTTCTAGATCCTCCCGGGGGTCTGGGATACGGATCGGCATCAATGGTAAAAGTCAAGCCTAAGGTCCCCAGAGTCCCCAACATGATATTTGAGTTTCCTAAAATAGGGAACCCTAATATAGTACCCTAAATAGTAGGATCCTTATTATAACGACCCCTGAATAAGGTACCCCTGATTTTCGGAAACTCCCATATGGGTGGTTGTCAAAAAAAATTAGGGTCCCTTTTGGCGGTACCCTAAATGATAGGCGCGGTAATACATTTAAGGACCCAAAAAGGGACCCTAATTTTGACAACCACCCATCTGTACCCAAAGAGCCAGGTCCATGTATGAAGGCCCTTCTCATTACAAGATCGGACGCTCGTGCAGATTAGCGCAGTTACAACTTCTAGACTTTGCAGAGATGATTTGGGAGTTTCCGAAAAGTAGGGGCACCTTATTATGGGGTCCTTGTAATAAGGATCCTACTATTTAGGGTACTAGATTAGGTTGTGAGCCAAAATTTCACGTTCCTTGCCTAAACTTGGCCAAAGCACTGAGCCCTGGGAGCCTTCCCCAAATCCTACTTGGAGGTTCATAGGTAGTTATAAGGGTCCCTTTAAAGGGATCTACAGGGATTCTATGAGGGTATAGGGTTTAGGGCCTACTTGCAGGTTCATGGGTAGATATAAGTAGGGTTATATGCCCGGTAATATGGGTTATAAGTTTCGTTACCTTACTTATAACTACCCATGAACCTTCAAGTAAGCAGCTTGAAGTGCAGAAACTTAAACCGGGAGCTTGCATTTCGGAATATACCTCAAATTTGAAGGTAGTTGAATATTGTGATTTACGGAATATTCCCACACACCCAAGTGCTGTTGCATCGATTTAGGTGCCATCCGGCACCCACAAAACCTTTGGCACCAAGCCGAGGTGCAAGGATTACCTGTAAACCCCAAAGGCATCCTTGTTTAGGCGGCGTGTTAGGGTTTCTTAGCAAGCCCAAGGCTCCATGTACCCACATAGTATATACTTATCAGTCCTCAAAAGGGTACTTCAAGGCCTAGCTATATACGATATAGGTAGGTGGAGCCTTAGGGTAAGGAAGCAAACAAGCGTCAAGCTGCAAACCCTTGACGATGAATGCCCTCACACTCCTAAGTCCTAAAGAACATCAAGTGATTTTGGATTAGGGGTTTAGGGTTGAGGGTTCTGTTTGGATGTCCCCTCCTAAAACTAATTGCAAAGAGGTATCATCTGCTTTTGTGGGGCTTTGTCGATTTGGATGGGGGTTTGATAGAGGTTAACTCGGGTTGTCGTGTGCAATAAAGAATTTAGACACATTCATGACGGTAGCTTCTTGAAGGCGTCTCCCTCTCAATGGCCCTGTCCATTTTGATTCTATAAGTACAAAACCTGACGCCTGACGCGGGGGCGCATAGACTCCTAAACCTTGAGCCCCAACGCTAAACCCTATACCCGTAAAGCACGGGACATAAAAACCTAAACCGTAAACCCCAAAACCCTAAACCCTTAGGAGCCGTTGCACCTTTACAACAAATGAATAAATCCCATCGGCCCGAAAAACCCTAGACCCTGGCTTGCGCGAAGCCCCCGAGCTTTCCAGGCCTCCCCCAGCATGCTCAAAGAGTGTGCCGGCTGGATAATGCTGTCGTGCGTGCAGTATCCCAGAGACTCTACTAGATGTAGGGGTTACCTGGACCCCAAAAGTATGTAGAATAAATGCATTTTATAGGTTTTGGGCCATGATTTCACCTACTTTTGGGGGTCTGGGTAGGGCTTAATTAGGGGTTTCCCAAAGACCACTAACTAGATTTAGGGGTTTAGGGCTCCGGGGTCTCCACTGATTCTGCTAGATCTATTAGGGTTTAGGGGACTTCAATATCCCTTAATTGAGGAGTATACTTTAGAATTTAGTAGGATCCCTAATAGGGTTTAGGATTTACTGAAGAATCAGTGTCTATCTTGGGTTTCATGCTTGAAGTTCCAGAGAACCCCCCAGAGACTGCTACAGAAACCTGAAAGACAGACTAGGGTTCTGTAGAGGGCGGCAACATGGTATGGCTCCGTATCAGGGAACTACTCTAGCGCTCTGAAAAGACTGACTCAAATTGTTTGTTTCGTTTTTGAAGGGGGGGGTTGTGGTAGAACTGCGTTGGGATTTAGGGCTATGGAACGCTGAAAAAGTTTTCAGACCCAAGTGTTAAGGATTGCAGGCTAACGCTTCTACTAGAGATCTCTACGGGTTTACCCATTTAGGCTTCTGGCTCGTTAGAGGTTGGGGTTTGGGTTCGATGATCATACATGACAAACTACCTGTAGATGGAAATTGAAAATACTAAGTAAGCGTGCCGCAAAGAAAGGCATCCTACGTAGCATGATATAAGTGAAGATAGTGCAGTGCTGCTTCAAAGGATTCCTTGACGCCTTTGGCCCGAGACCATATTCTAATTATCAAGGCCCCTTATTACATTAAGACATGCTGGAACTGGAGATTGCCTCAAGCTTGAAAGAGCCGCTGGATGGATCTGCGAAACATCACCCCGAGGCTCCGATACCCCAAACATAAGAAATCTACCTTAACTTTTTATAGGAACCCTAGTGGAATCAATGTCTATTCCTTAATTAAGGGGTATTGGAGTCTTTGGGCATCCGCGTCTGTCACTGCGGAGACCGAGAGCGCGGTTGGCACTCTCCTTCATTAAACCAGAAAGTTGGAACATCACCATCTCGGTTTAGGGTTTAGTGCTGAAGTAGCTGAGTCTCAGCAGGTAACCTTTAACCTTTTTGGGGGTTATATAGTCCGACCATGTTTGAAAATGTTAGGCTTTTTTGGGCTGGGGTACTCAGCCCCTCCGCGTCTTTGTGCGGCATCCAGGAGTAATTCTCAGTCAGTGTTTCAACTTTCTGGAGTTCGTTGTAGGATTCCGCAGATTTTCCAGGAACACTAGTCTCCTTAGGCGTTTTTCTTGTTGTTCATATAAAACGCAAGAAGGTTTTAGACAGATAAAAGACTATTCTTATTATAGTTCTAGGGTCTAAGGGTGTATAGGGAACAAAACTCTGAAAAATCCAATGTCCAAGGCCTGAACCCTCCCCTCGAACCTGCAAAACCGAAGAATGCTGAAAATCAAGCCCCTAAGACCCAAACCCAAAAGCCCTAAACCCAAAAGCCGAATCCCTAAATCCCTAAACCCCTAAACCCCAAAACCCTAAAACCCCAAATTCCTAAACCCCTAAACACTAAAGCGCTAGCACCTGAATCCTCGGCCCATGCTGTCCGACAAATGCACGTCCAAGACGTGGACATTATGCCGTGCCGGGCAGAAAGAGGGCTTCGGTCGAGGGCTTTGGGGTTTCTCTGGGTTTTGGATTAAGGTATTCTGTTTCTTAAAGCCCTAGTTCTTAGGGTGGCTCGTGTGATTTGTTTTGAGATATTTGATTCTAGGGGTTCTCTGTGAGGTTAATGTAGGAACCTGATTTAAAAAAACCTGGCGCTATAAAATTCAAATCGTAGGGTTCATGTAAGGAACTCGAAAAAAGTTTCAGGTCTTAATCAGGTTCCTACATTAGACTTTACGGATTCGAAAAGGTATTAGGGATTTAACGCTGGGGCTCTGGGATTGGCGGTCAGTGTGCAGGATTTAGAGTTAGAGCTTCCGGAAGAACTAATGTAGGGGTAGGGGCCTTACTCATAACAATTGCGTGTGTTGTTCGTTCTTTGGGGGAGGGTCCTTATCATAAGTACAGTAGAGTATAGGAGAGTATAGTATAGTATGCCCGCAAACTCTATTCTAATTATTAAGGCCTCTACATTGCCACCACCAACGCCAGGAACCAAGTATTGATTTCTTTTTCTTCTGATCACTACCACAAGCGCAAAGCCAAAGACCTTGCAGCCACAGGTGAGACCTGCATGCTTGTTCGTGTCTGGAGCGCTGGGCATGCGCAGTTAGAAAACCCTGACCTACGCCTTAAACCGTGCTATTTTTTGAAAGTCTGTCTCGGCTAGATGTTTTCAATTTGTTTTGAAATGATCTGGCCGGTTTACCACCGCGAGTCTCATGCAACGAGACCATAGAGCCCATGTTCAAGCAACTTTGTTGAGCTACAAATCGTTCCTGTGATGTTTCGAGAGCCTGCAGCTATATTTAATGACAGGAAGGAGACTGCCTGCAAGAGCAAGCCCACAAAACCCAGCCAGATCCAATGATTGAACCCCCACAAGAAGCATTCAGAGTTTAGGGACGTAATAAGCAGAAGCCCTAAACCCAAAGCCCCAAGCCCTAAACCCTAAACCCTAAACCCTAGCCAGCCCGAAGAAAGTCTGTCAGCGCATCCTCCGATGAACCTCGTTGTGTGGACGCGCCGTGATGGAGGCGCAAGTAGTAGTCGTCATAATGGTAGTGGTAGTGATGGTGGTGATGGTCGTGGTTCTGGTGCTGGTGCTGGTGGTGTTAGTGGTGGGGTTAGTGGTGGTGCTGGTGGTGGTGGTGGTGGTGGTGGCGGCGGCGGTGGTGGTGGTGGATTAGTATTAGTATTAGTACTAGTAGTGGTATTAGTATTAGTAGTGGCAGTGGTACTGGGAGTGGTACTGGTAGTACTGGAATTGGTACTGGTAGTGGTACTGCTAGTGGTAGCAGTGGTGTAGTAGTAGTAGTAGTAGTAGTAGTAGTAGTAGTAGTAGTAGTAGTAGTAGTAGTAGTAGTAGTAGTAGTAGTAGTAGTAGTAG